TATGTAATGGGGAAGAGAGAAAAAGGACTTTTCTCAACATTGCAAAGAAACAGTCCCAAATTCTCATTAGGAAGATGATTTTTGTTTTAGTCTGACGGTGAAAGGAGGCTGGTAAGTCTATGTGCCAATGTACAGAGAATTGAACCTGAAGTCAGCCACTCCAACTGAGCAGGTCAAGCTCTTGTTCTGCATGTCCCCAAGGTTTCCCTACCTACTGTACGTGAAATTATCGCTCGGTTTATCACGATATATTTGCCTGTTTTTTTGCCTTTCATAGTTCCTTACAAATTTGCTCTCTGCACAGCAGCAATTAAGAAAGGGATAAGTACAGCTGACCCTCGAACAACTAGTGGGGGTTAGGGGAACTGACCTCTGCACAGTCAAAAATGAGCATGCAATTTATAGTTGGTTGTCTTTATCCACTGTCCCACAAATGTGGGTTTCATAAACAGGGATCATGGAGTGCTGTAGCACTCATTAAAAAAAAAAATCCATGTATAAGTGAACCCCTGGGGTGCAAACTCATGTTGTTCAATGGTCAACTGTACTTCTGAGTCAATGCTGACCTAGGTGAGCCCACAATCTTTTTTTTTAAGTAACTTCCCACAAAAACCCAGTGATATAGGTATGATTATCCTCATCTTCCAGATAAGAAACTCAGGTTCATATACGTGAACTTTCCCAGTGTCACACCACTAAGAAAAGGCAGGACTTTTTTGAATCTAGGTCTCTTGCAAACCCAAGGCTGCGAGAAGTAAATGAGAACTCAGGTTTTGTCATCAGAAAAACCTAGATTCAAATTCTGATTCTATTATTTACTTGCTGTGTGATCTCAGACATAACCATTTAACCGGTCAAGCTTCAGTGTCCCTATTGCAAAAGGAACAAAAGAAAAAGGTTCAGCTACATCTGGGTTCAAAGAAACCTGAAATGGCAAAATGGCATTTCCCTTAACACTCAGTAAATATGCAGTGCTGTGCATGTGGAATCCCCCTCAAAGCCATTCCTGCCTTCTCTGTTTTACCGAGCAAGCTGAGTGGTCTGCTCCCCTGGGCTTTATCAAAGCAGAAATGTCTCGGCCAAGCGTGGGCCCTATGGCATCGCAGACCAACATCTGCTTCCTAGTGATTGGTTTTATTACAGAGACATGGCTATCAGAGGGTGCAACACCCACGTTTGTCTCCTGCAAACTCCACTCAGGAGTGGAGCCCTGCTTGGACATTAATTTATCGCTCTTGCCTTCCTTTGCTTAATTTTTGCTATCTTCTCTCCATCTTTCTCCTTCTATTTCTGCATCTCCCTCTGCTATGCCCTGAATGTTTGTGTCCCCCCAAAATTCTTATGTTTACACCTAACCCCCAAGGTATTAGAAGGCAAGCACTGATTAGATCATGAAGGCAGAGCCCTCATGAATGGAACTCACACCCTTATAAAAGAGAAGTCCCACAGGACAGGAAATAAACTTAAGGGTACCAGAAGGGGAAGGGAGAAGAGAGGGATATATTGGGAGTTTGGGATTAGCAGATACAAATGACTATGTATGGAATAGATAAACAACAAGGTCCTACGCTGTAGCCCAGGGAACTATATTCAATGGCTTGTAGTAACCTGTAACGAAAAAAATGTATATATTTATATGTATAACTGAATCACTATGCTGTACATCAGAAACTAATACGACATTGTCAATCAACTATATTTCAATTTTTTAAAATGGGGTGGAAGAGAAGCTACAGAAAGCTTCCTGCAATGTGACATTATAGCAAAGCAGGACTCTCACCAGACACTGATTCTGCAGGTACCCTGATCCTGGACTCCTAGCCTCTGGAACTCTGAGAATTAAATGTTTGTTGTTTATAAACCACCAGCCTATGCTATCCTATTATACCAGCCCGCAAGGCCTGACATGCTCTGACTCTCTTACACTCCTTTCTTCTTTCCTCTGACTCGCTCTCATTTTCCCTACTTTCTAGCCTTCTGTAAGATGGCATTTTGTGGGATCTTGTGTTTGAGTCAAGCTGCTTCCCAAGAGCATATCTGATAAAGAGCTAACCCCAAGAAAACTAAGAGTTGCAGTAGATTACTTTTAAATGATTGGGTTTGGGTACTTTCCAAGTTGAAGGAGAAACACATTCGTTCTGGAGCTTGGAGTTGACAACTGAAAGGTGTTAGTGTGTATTGCTAAATTTTTGCTAAAGCAACCTGTCCTGTCATGTTCGAATAATAAGTACAGAGAAGCAGGTCCTCTGGTCTTTCCTACAAGCTGAATCAGTGAAGCCGTGGAAGAGAACCAGCTATGGGATATAAGCTTAGTGATTTGCATCTTGGAGAGACAGGCTCTATTTCCAATGGATTTCCCTTCATAAAAGATTTCAAACTATAGCCAAAATTTTCATAAATATCATGATTCATCAGTGGGCACATTGCCACCTAGTATATACTGTTAAAAACTTGATTTGTACTAGTCTAAATGTCTATTTATCTTAAATACGGCTACATGTTTAAATCGGTGGTTCTCAGTGTGAGGTGCTCTTGACCCAGAGAGACATCTTGCAATATATGGAGACATTTTTGATTGTCACAGCTTAGAAGAGAAACGAAGTGTGTTGCTACTGCTGTCTGGTAGGTAGAGGCCAGAGATGCTGCTAACCATCCTAAAATGCCCAGGACAGCCCATCACAACAAAGAATTATTCATCCCAAATATCAATAAGCCAGAGCTGAGAAACTTCAGCTTAAATGCCTACTGACCTGAAAACCTGCAGACTCCACTGTATAACCGAGCCCTTGGTCACCCTATAGAAACAGCGATGGACTGGGAAAGCCTCCGTCCCTGGGGGCGTCTCTAAATGCCATGTGCCACAGCCAAATGCTGACTGTTGATCCTGCATGCAATCTGAAAAATCTTAGGAAGAAATTGTTCCACTCAGCAGGGAAACCATTTGTATGGTCTTCTGGATTAGTTTTTGATACTATAATTTGAGATCATTTTTGAAAACAGCCAAATCTGATTCTAAGCTAATTCACTGTGTCTGGTGTCCCAATTACGTGTTGATTTCTTCATGCAAGCCTACTGATCTTGGCAGCGTGAAGGCTAAAAATTTCGCATTCAGGCAGGAAGAATAAATCGTAATTGCCTCAATTAACTTTCCTGTGATTCAGGGTTTGTTAACAGTTTCTCTGCTTTGTTCCAGATGTATTTATTTTATTATGTCTTTTGCTTTTATCCATCTCTTTCCTGAGTTCCAGTATAATGACACTGCAGTCTTCAGCAGTGTCCCATTACTTGCCCAAAAACTGAATCCATTCTTTGCAGATAATGAATTCCAGCAGGATCATGCTGATCGCACTGAACTTCTGGAAAATCTGACATCTTGGATCTCTGTCTTGCTGGCTCTGATGTCTTCATTTCCCTTCCAAAGACGATCCTTTGCCTCATTCATTTTCATTAGGCTTACTGGGGAACAGCGACAATCCAGGTTCCTGTTTCTGAGTTTTCCCCAAAAGAGGGAAGAAGAGTCGTGCAAGGAATAACACTGTATCAGGTAGCTTTTATTTTCAGGGTCTACCCCATTTGGCAAATAAAGGAAGTGGTATGCTCTGTGTTTTGTATCGATATTGTGGAGTTTGTGTTTCCAGTGTGTGTTTTACAAATAGTGGTCATAAAAATGTCACAGAGTTTTGACTCAGGGTTCTTGGATTCTGATCGCGGCTCTTCCATTAAATGGCTGGATACATTAGGACAACTTGAGTCTTTTCCAGACTTTATTTTCCCATCTCTGAAATGGGAGGATCGGAACACAAATGTTCTATGACTGTGGCAGGAAGCAGTTGCAGAAATATGGGGGGCTGAGAGGAAAGGGAAAATGAGTATCTTTCCGAAACACGCCCAAATCCTGCACAAGTCATATGGGGGAAAGGGATATAGAAGTAATGTCACAGAAGGAGATGCCTATGTCCAGCCATCAAATTAAATAAGCAGCTCTGTGGCCTCCGTTCAATCAGAACCAGACCCCGACGTTGGCTCTGCCGCTACCTGCTTTCCTCTTCCCTAGACCGACCCCTGCAGCCTTCTCCACTGTGGATGTAATTCCACTGTGGAGATCACCGATCGGACAAGGAATGGAAAATGAGAGAGAGAAAGAGAAAAATAAATACAGAAAACAAAGGAAAGCAGAGAGGGGCACGGTCAAGTGCAATCAGCCTCTCCTGATGACCGTCTGCAGCCCTCTCCAGCACTGAAACCCGGACTGAGGCATACCACGCAGACAGCTGACTCCAAATCATTTTTTTGAAAGATGTGTTTGGGCCATTTGGCAAATGAGGGCCAGCTCTCATGGAAGTTACATAGCTAGGAAGTCAGACAGCAGGAAAGGCGAGATGAATAAAAGGACAGAAAAAGAATTATAGGAGAAAAGCTGAATGGAAAAAAAAAAAGGCAGGAGAAATTACTTTTCCTAATGAGAAATGCAAAATTTTCCACCAGACAACTGTGACTCTTGGCTAAGTGGCTCACAGAGCATGGGAATGAAATGCAGGGTGGGCGAGGCCATCCAGGAAGCTGGGCCTTGAGTCTGCTCTGTCTCTAGAGGCACCGGGTGGACTGCGGGTCTCAGTGGCACCACTGATTCACCAGACTGCCCCTCCAAGAGGTAGCCATGCCCATTACATAGAGTCTGGAAAGAGTATTGGACTATAAATTAAAATATCATGTTCTGGAGCCAGCTCCACGTGGTGACCCTCCTTGATTTGTCACGGAATCGCTGAGGCCGGTGTCATCAGTTAGTAAGTGATAGACGTCTTCATGATCTCCGAGGCTCCTCCAAGCTGTAGCATTTTTACAGTTTTAATAATTACCACTCCTCACCTTCGCCAGACCACATTTCATAGGCGGACTATTTATCCCTCCCTCTCTCACCCCTGCTTCACTGCTCACAGGAGAAAGCCTGTGAGCAATCGCTCCCGTCGTCTCATGGAATCTGAAGCTGCTGTGGCACTTGCTGTTGGCAGTCACACTGGATGATGGATAAACTGCTGACTGAGCCTTCAAATGGTCAACCTCCTAGCAGGAATCAGTTGAAATTCTAGCTCCTTAGAACACAGGACTGAAGAGCTGGCTACACATAGATGCTCCCAGGTTTCCTTCCTAAGATGTGGGACAGAAAGATGGTGACTAGTGGGTTTTGATGACTCAAGCACCAAAAAAAAAAAAAAGGAAGAAAGAAAAGAAACACAAAAGCCTCATCCTTTGAGGAAATAACCACTAGGAAATTTCAGATCAACTATTTCAAGAAGACATAAAACCAACTTCCTATTTGAAATAATTTGAGGACAAAATGTACCTAGTCTACATATAGGAAAAAAAAGATTTAAATATGGGATTAGGAAAAGGGTTTTATTCAGAATTAATAGAATATATATTATGCACATATCACGTGGCCTAGGTTTCAAACTCATTTTCTTTTAAGGCATTCATCTAGAAAGAGAAAGAAGTTGACAAAGCAGAGTAAAAGTGAAAAAAATCTTTAAGTCAACCTTTTTCGTTAGTAGAAAACACTAATAAAATAAATTGTGGTCAAGAAAAAGGAAGTTGAGGGAGAGGACTCTAGGAGGGAGACAGAATTGCCTAACTTAATTGCATCTCCTTTTTTTCCTTCCTCTAATCCTAAGAAGAAAAACAAAGGCCAAATGGCACAAAGTACCAACTGAGAAACAAAACACAGAGGGGCAAGCTTGTTTTAAGTAAAAAAAAATCTAAATAAGTAAACAGCAGTAGTTGTCTTTTTTTAATTGTTTTCTTTTTACTAAATGGCTGGGAACACTGAAAGAAAAACAGATACTGTCAAAGTATTCCTGATTATAAAGCACACAGATAAGAAAAAAAGAAAAGGATCTCTCTCTCTCTTACATTTATTTAAATTCCACAAATGTACATAAAGCAGGCTTAATGCATCAAGAATTTTCCAAAGCATAGTTTTAGGAAATAAGGATTAAATTAGGGGAAAAGATGGGGGGAGGTGAGGTTTGCAACATTAGCCAGTAGTTGCAAGTAGAATAGAGTGAAAAGTCAAACAATCTACAGTCTTTCTGTAACTTTCTCCCCCAACTGACCAGCTAGGAAACCAGGTAACTAATTTGGGAATACCTCCTGCCGCCACGCAGAAATCCTTCTCAATAATATTTCATACACAAGCAACCAAACTATTATTCATTCAGCAAACATACACTGAGCATTTACAGCTACTTCCCCTGTGTTAGGTATTTGGGGGGAAGAGAGATGCTGAGACCCAACTCAGACCTACTGAACCTAAATCTCTAATTTTAAATCATGTTTTTAACACCCAGGTGATTAATAATAATCATCCATCTAATAGTACTCTTCCAGACCTGAAAACATGTGCTTTAAGAGATGCAAAAATGACTATGATCGTTCTTTTAACTCAAGGAGCCCACATAAGTGATGAACAAATATATGAATTTCTCCAAAACAAAGTTAAAAATGAACCATGATACGAGAGGAACATATTCTTTACTGTGGACACTCAGAGGAGGGAGAAATGATGGATTGTTGGGGTTTGCAGAGCGAGTGAAAGAGGGCCTCACAGAAATAGGTATATTTGTGTTGGCATAGTTACCATTTGAACATGTGGAGAAGGAGGTGGGAAAATCTACTATTATAACTAATAAGAAGAAGAGACACATCTCCAGTGTTTCTGGAAAAGAAATAGGCCCTGTCTTGGGTGCTTGATACAAATCCTCTCTTAAACCTAAACAAATCAGTAGCTCCTGTTATCTCCCCATTTTGCCGATGAGGAAACCACAGCTTAGAAAGTCCCTATGATTTGCTCACAGAGCTAGAGATTGAAGGGTTAAAGTTCAATCCCAGATCTAGCCCATTCCAGAGCCTACACGCCTCCTGCAGAAGAATAAACAGAGCCCAGATGGGCAAAAGTGTCAGACACATGGGATAAGCGTCCATTGTTCCCTCTGGCTGAAGGAAGGCAGAGTCGGGGGCAGACTGGGCTGGTAAGGTTACAGGCAGCCAGGCTGTGGGCGCTGTATTAAACACTACGGGCTATATACAGTAGCAAGGGGGAACCAGTGAAGGAGTGATGGTTTGCAAGCAGACGCTACTCTGATAAAAGCTTTATCATAGGTCTTGGACTATGAATCCTGAGTTATATCTTACAATCTGAAATAATGAAATTCAAAAGTTTAAAGCATCTTGTCCTGCCTTTAAACAAAAAGGTGTGACTAAGAGCTCAGTGAGCTACCACCACAGAGCTGTCCAGATGGATTCCCAACATGCCAGGCCTTAAGGAAGATTTTGCAGAACATCCCTTAAGATAAATGCCCTGAGTGTCTGTTACCCACAGGCAAGAACTGACTCATCCCTGGAGCTGTCCAAATCTGGCACAAGGATAGCCCTGGGGACTCAGCATTCCCTGGGACCTGAGGTGACCCCATGGGGCAGTGGGTGTGCATGGAGATGATCTGTTATTGGCAGAGTCCAGAGCCCTGATTCCTAGTCTGTGCTCATTTCATCAAATCAAATCATATGTGACACTGAGTGAGCCCCTATCCCTCTCTCCATCTCCTTTTCCCATCTGTGAAATGAGAAATTGACCTCAGCAGGGCCTCAGACTTCACAATTCTCAATCTTTCCCTTCCAACACTCCAGCATAAAGAATTTGTTTCCATCAGTGGCTCACTAACTTGGATTTAGGAAAGGAGCACTCTCTCCCGAGAGCTTTTACAGTTTATAAATCCTTAGCTGAGAATAAATGTACTTCGTTATCTCTAGGAAGCCCACTAGTTCTGACTGTGTTACAGGATTCACGGTTCTCAAATCCTGGCTGCAAAGTCCTCAATGAATTTAATCTGGTCCAGAATTATCCTTTTCAAGTGCAAACTGGATCACTGATGTCCAAAGTAATTCAGCAACAGAAGATACCATGATCATATATGCAGGCACATGCTAGGAACGCCTTTATCATCAGGGAGTAACCACTTTAGGATCCTAACTTGTCAAAGCCCCAAAGATATTATCAGTTGAGAGTTTTGTTTCACTCTCAAAAGACTGTGTATGTGTGTTTATGAGTGAAATCCCCAAGAAGCCAAGCAAAGTTTCAAACTGTGGCATTCTTGGAAGGAGGGAGGGAGAACCATGACTTTATTCAGTGTTTTATAAAGATTTCCCTCCAAATGCCTACCATCAAAAATGAATTTCCAGGGGAAGGGTATAGCTCAGTGGTAGAGTCTGTGCTTAGCATGCACAAGGTACTGGGGATTGAACCCAGTACCTTAAAATAAGTAAGTAAATAAATAAATCTAATTACCTCCCCACAACCCACCAAAAAAAAAAAAAAAAAAAAGAATCTCCAAAGGGTTAAAAATATTTCCTCCTCCAGAGATTATCAATTATGTAGATCCAAGAAACTGTCTATCAGAATGGAAGTGAACAGGGAGGAGATGCATGATTTGTTCTGCTCTCAGAAACACTGCTGGTAAAACAGAAATTAGCACATGAACTCATATATCTTTGAAAGGACTTCTTCAACTTCATTGGCTCATCCGACCACACCCAGTAGTTCACCCACAGAGCTGCCCACGAGTGACTAACTCCGGTAATTAACTCACTGCAAAAAAACTGGGGCATGTTAACTATAGCTTCATCTTCTTTGACCTCCAACCAGGAGCTGGAAGCAGGGGAATGATAAATGTTAGCATTAGCCGTGAAGCAAGCTTAATTACAGAACCAAAGAAACTCACATTTTGAGGGTTACCTCACAGTTATTTATTTGTATAGGACTGAAAATAAATATGCATTCCTTTTCCAGGCCTGAGAAAGGAAAATGCACCCAAACTGTGTCACAGAACAATCAGCAGGACTGCCAGCCTCACATCTGAGCCTCCTGGGAAGACAGTGTTACAGGGACCAAAATCGACCACCCACGTTCTGCTCTGGGAACTAGCTTTAGTGTATCTTCAGCTGTCAGGTACTCAGGGTCCCCTCTCTGCCTACTATTGACTGATTTCTGTAAGGCCACCAAAAACTGTGCCACTCATTTAAAAGAAATCAGATTTGTATCTAATACATGCCTCAGCAAATCCATCAGAAGGCATAAGCAAGTAGAAGACAAAGCCTGGAAAGGGTTCAGACTTTCCCCTTTACTTCTTGCCCAAGATACTATGTTTAGTGAACTCCAGTACCTTAGCCAGGGCACTGGGAGTGAAGTTAGTTCCAGCTGTGATTTCCTGAATGCCACCGACAACTGCAAATCTCCAGAGACCTACCAAATATGAGGGCAGAGAATGTGCGGAATGAGCTGCAAAAGGCATTTGAATGATCTGAACATGGTATGTATTTTCGCCACCCCAGAAATACAGCCTGGTCCGTTGTTTGGCATGACCAACCAACCCAAAGCTGCCACTTCTTGACAGCTGTAGAAGAGACATTGATATATTGACATCGAAAGGCCAAAGAAGGAGAAAGGGTTAAGTTCAAAGCAACATGGATGGAGTGAGAGTGGGAGGTTGAGGAATACAGGCTAAATTCTCTCTGCTGAAGCACCTACAAAGATCTTCAAAGTTGTAAATGTGGGGAAAATGTCAATATGCACTGTCTACCTCTGGCCACTAATTTCAGGCAAGTTGAACACACACACACACACACACACACACACACACACACACACACACACACAGAAGGAGAGGATACCTGATGTGGAAATAACTCAGTCCAATACTTACCTTCAGAAACTGGAAGCCCTCTATCAAAGGAGAAAGAGTCAGCACTTTGGGAAGATACTTTTAGTGAGATTGCCTCACAGAGTCACCTCTTCCAAGCATACCTTCTCTTTAACCTTTGATCTCCTCCCCACCCCACCCCCTTTTTTTGTAAGTGCAGGTGGGAAAAGGTAGAGGAATTTGTTTCAGAACAAGTCTACTTTTAAGTCGGCTGTTCTGAGGACGCTTTCTTTTAAACTTCAAAGACAAGGTGCGGAGTAGAAGTAGGAGAGATAAGGGAGGGGAGATGGAAGAGAAACGGGGGTGAAGTTAGACCAAGGCATGGAGCGAGAGATCTTACACCAGACCCGGCTATGCCACCGTTCAGACATGAGCACTGAACGGGTACTTTAAACA